AGCAAAAATAAATTCACAGAAAAATTGTACCTTCTGTAGTCTAAATTGTACCATCAGTACAATTTTAAAAATTTGATTCTAAAAGTAATAATAGGACAACTACAAAGCTCTACGCCTGCGCAAAGTGCATTTCCGGATACCATCCTTGTAAGTTGTAACAATTAGTGGTAATTTGTAATTGTCCTATTATTTCTTTTAGAAACAAATTTATAGAATTGTACTGATGGTACAATTTAGACTACAGAAGGTACAATAAAATGTTATTTGTGTCGGGCTGTTTTCGCATCGGTGTATATATCATGGAGACTGTATACAGGAGGCGAGGCAGGCCTATACCGCCCGTGTTAAAGCGTTCGGCAAACCCAAGTCACAGTCCCAAAGTAATTAGCCGATTTTAGCGCTGCGTGCGGTAGTTAGTGAACTACTAGAAGACTTACAATTGCGCAGCTTATCGACCATGGTACTGTAGGTGACGAAGATAACCCGCACGCGAATATCTTTTTTTATAAAAAGGGATAAATTAATTTTATAGAAAATGAATACTGTTTTACGATAAAAAAGTCTTGCTATTTTGTTCGTAAATGTACATTTTCAAAGTTGAGTGAATAACGTTGAATTTCCTATCTTATATATGATAATATATATATATATAATAACTAAATTTTTCGAAAAAGTTTTAGAAGTATATTTAAGTGAGATTGTTACACACACGCACACACACTTAGAATGATTTTCAAGGTCATTTGAAGGTCACAGTGATTTTTTGAATAGGAACCCCTATTTTTTATTCCGGATTTGGAAATAACGAGAAATTCTACGTTTAGATGAGGTATTATGTGTGGGGTTTGATTGATGATGATGTTCCCGCATATATTTAATATAAATAATTAAATAATAAATATAAAAACTGAAATTAATATTTTGACTGTTTGCGTAGTTCTTTAGATTTTAATTTTTTTGCACATCATAGACAATATTTTGTCGCTTGCACGTCATTTTCATACGTCTTTCTAAATAGTAAATTATGAATTTGTATGTTAATTTTATTACGTGATCTGCACAACCAACAAACGCTAGAGAGTTCGTTATTATTATTTTTTGAACAATGAACTGCATACTATCTCTAGTCATGCCATTATTACACTCAATTATAAAGGTCACACAATTTTCAACCATCTTAATTAATTCAAAAACATTGTTGCTAGACTTAATTAAGCCACCAAAACCCTCTCTAGCATTTATAAGTTAATGGCGTGCAGCATCATTGGAGAACGACTCCAAATGCAGATTGCAATTTTCGTACTCGTTGGACTTGATTATTTCACGGACGACCCAGCCAGACACGTCTGATATCAATCGATCGTCTGTACTCGTATTGATCACGTTATAAATATGGTCCGATTCGTCATCCTTTTGAGCAGGTATCAACTCCCTATATTTGCTGATCCAATTTAAAATTGCATTCTGCAAAGACATTTTATTGTCCTGTTGCATTGCTTTTGACTTTTCGGTGTTAATTAAGACTTGAAGCACTTCGCCTTTTACAACGTTTGCTGCCTTTTGGAGTCTTAATCAACCTATAAGTACAAAATATTTTAAATAAATGCGCGAACATGGTCGGATCTGGATTGTCATTGGAGCCAGCAGATATGCGTAAGATTCCGAAAAGTCTCTGAAAACGAAAAATCACAATTCATTGCTATCATTATAAAATTAATTTATATTTTATGTAAAAAATTATTTTTTACCTCAATTGGGTCAGAGCATAAGTGGTTTTTTAATAAATATTCATAACTATGCTCTTTATTTAAATATTCTAGTCATTCTACTGATGCTTTCAAAGTTACTAGAAGACCCGTAAAAGTATTTTGCGTTAATGGGAATTTAACGTTATTATCTGCTGCTCCTTTACGCCAAATCTGCAGGTAATCGATAAAAGTAACGATTGTCTGAAATAAAATTTGATTTATATATTATATCATATTATATTATAATAAATCATGAAGAAGTATAATAAAATATATTCATACAATTAATCATAATATATAAATATAACAATTATATTTATATTACCTTTACCGTTGCACAATCGCCGCTCGCATACATAGCATCTTTTACACTCCTAGACCGCATTGCATCAATGAGATTTTTCATCCTCCGTATAAAAATGATTGTTGGTTCGCAATCTTGCAATTTCCCTCCGGCTTTAGTATCATATTTGTATAATGTCATCGCTTGGTGCACCCTTTCTGAAAAAATCTGAACAAATTTATTTCATTAATATCTATTTTCAATATGTAATATATACTATATTTTTTTTAGACTTACTTGAATGGCCATAAGCACATTCATCGTCATAAATCCTTTTAGATCCAAATGGTCTGGCGTCAAAAAATAAGCGCATTTAAGATTGTACTGCAAATGCGATTCGCATTTCAGTACAGCTTCCCAGTACGCTTTTTTTACTACACCATCCGGAGTCTAAACAAGAAAAATTTTGTTATTACACATTAAATAGTACTAGTTAATAAAATGAGTTACCATTTGCAGCAAACATACTCATCCAAAATTCTAAAGCCCTCATTATTTGGTTGCGGATATTTTTCTAAAGGTGAGAAGGGTCGGAAATGAACCACAATTTCCTTGAGGAATTGCAAAGATGCAAACAACTAATATTATTTTCATTTATATTATTATTGGTCCAAACTTTTCTGTTTACATTTGCAGCATCCATTCCTACTACATCCACATACAATCCGACCTGCTCAATTCTTTTAATACAATCAATCAAAATGCAATCCAGTATATCACCTGTTGTCTTGCTTGCTGCAAAAGCTGCTATTGGCTGTAAAATATGTTAAAGTGTATGTAAAATTATTGTGAACTTTTAAATTAATTGTTATAATAAAAATGATTGAATTTATTACTTGTGCCCATCTTTCTCTAAATGGTATATACATCAAGCATAACGCATGGTCTGCTTGTACTTGTAATTTTTCGGGAGTGTAAGGGCCGTAATCTACAAATCCTTGCACTATCCAATTTTTATCGAGGGCTACAGCCTCGCTTAGCGAAATTTCGTTAGCAATCAATATTCCTACAAAGGAAAATATATTTATAATTAGTACTTAATGTACTGATTTATAAGAAAATGATTAATTCTTTAAACATTTACCGTGCCTTTCACTATTTTCTAAATCGTCAACTTTGATTTTTAAGCTTTCAAAAACGGCTTCTTGAAAACCATAATTGGAGCCGAGGGATCTAGTGTAAGAGCGGAGGGTATATTCGCTAGGTAATGGGAGAATTCTTCTATCTCGTAGATACTCGTACAAAGCACTGCTCTTCGTGTGCATTATGTAACTTTCGCAAATCCATTCTTGCGAATAACGGTACCTATTTTTTTTAATATCATCAAAATTTAAAAACATCGAAACTATTTCTTGCTGAATGTCCGGTAGATTTTCCAGCACTTGTTTACTATTACACTCATTATTTATTAGAGTTTCCAATTCAATGATTTTTAACTTAGCCTCCTCATACTGAAACGATTGGAACATTTTAGTCAATTACTTATTATATCTTTCATTGATATGACAACTTACACGTTCACACCCACACACGCGCGCGCGGACGTATGTATATACGTACATATATTATTAATGTAATAGTAGCTGAATAAAAATTACCTGTTTACTCCAATAAGCGTATTTCTTTTCCAACAATTTGTATTTCTGCATCAAGGCCGAATATTTGTCTTTCAGAGACGTTTTATAGTGTTCGGACGTCATGATTTCTACATTACATTGAGAACACGTACTGTTTTCAAATGATGATGTAGTTATGCAACATTTTTCAGACCACCTAAAAATATAATTTTATCAATATTACTTAGACTCATGTCATTTTTCTATAAAATATTTTGCAGAATATGACGTCTTACGTTTGTTTTGAGCTGGTGGAAGTGCCGATACAGAAACATTGACTTTCCAAATAAGAAAGAACCTTATTGAGACTATCTAAAGAATCTACCGAATGTATTGTTGAGAAATTTTGTAATTTCATTTGATTGGGAAGTAATGTCTGAATCTTCCCATTAGAAAGCAATTTCAAGTGGCACCGAATTTGAAAAATATTTACATCAAAAAATGTAAAAAGAATCCCATCTTCTAGTTTGGTCCATGCCCAGTTTTGTCTTAATGACATAGTCTCAAGAATATTTGGTAAATCTGAATTTATATTCATATTGTTCTCATGCTGCGAGAATACTTCATCAGACATTTTATTATCTGCGAGTGTATTTTCTACTTCTACCTGGGATGCATTACTATACACCATTTCTTGCTGCCGAATTATTGCTCGTGGTTTGCAATACTCCTGTTCTTGTTGCTTTCTTCGTTCAAACTAAAATCGCACCCATACATTTAAGGGTGTATAGGCTATCAGTCGAAACAATGCTACAATATTTATTTTTTGTAAATGCGTGTATATTGACGGTAAAAAGCTACTTGCAAAGTTTCAACTAGATTCATGGGTTATTAAAAAAGTTATATTGATTTAAATTTTACATACTCTCTTATGGCCACAAGCCATTAGCCTAATGATTCTGAACTTTAAACTAAAAATTGGTATAGAAAAAACAATGATAAACTCCTCAAAGTTATATCTATCTATCCGTAAATATTCTAGGAAAAAATATGTAAAAAAAATAATATTATTTCATGGAATATTACAGAAGTTTTTAATGAAAATATAATGCAAAATTATGTCTTTCATTTGCAAAACAAGCAAGACTTGGCAACACCGTCGCCGCCATATATGACGGACGACGATTGCTATAGCTATAGATATAATAGCTGCGTGCATCTGTATCATAAAATACTACAAATGATATTTTATTTACTTTGATTTGTAAAAAAATTACAAATCGAACCAAAAAATTAAAAATCAAGTAATAATTATCTTGTAGCAATAGTTTTATTATCTACCACCAGAAAAATAATAATTTGTGTAATTTTCACATCACTTTTTAAATTACAATTTAAATTTAATACTATTGAACAATAAAACACATTATAAAATTAAATTTTTTAAGTACCGTTACACCTTCAACTTTCTAACCAGTCAACAATTTTTTTTATTGTCGGCTTGTGAGCCGTTACAATAGGCTTATTATTTATTTTTTCACTAAGTAAATCAAAAACTCCTGTTATTCCAGAACTTGAATGAGTAGTTTTCAAGAGTTCAATTGTAATGTTTGCCCTTATTAGCTTTTTCTTAATTTCATTGCCAACAACATTTAGAAGTGGGTTTAGTGTGGGCAATAATCTTCTTACTCGAGCATCATCTAACCATTTATCAGTGATTTGCACATAACTATGACCACAATTGACTAGATGATCATAACTTATTGCTAGTTTTTTAATAATTTTTTTTAAAATTGCAACATCTTTGGTAGCGTCATGAGCATTCAAAGAAGAAATATTTAGCCAATTAGCAAGACTTGTAATGGTACAAGTACCTTTACCAGTGCGTTCAGTACATTTTTTTATAACTGGTAAAGTATCTATGAATCCTTCGATAACTTTCGAAAATTCATCAGTTAAGGAACATTTGTTTATTGCATTTAATAGTCTGGGTCCATCGAAATTCAAATTGTGCGCAGCTAAATAGCATTTCTTATTGAACGACAATAAGTAATGTAGGAACTGTCCCATAGCGATTCTAAGCGAAACCGAATGAACTTTTTCGCTTTGTAGCATAAGATCTCCTTCGTACTTTCTCAAGCCATGAATAGCAGAGGCAGCTGTTGAAATATCTTGAACGGGATAAATATAAACATTGAAAGAAATTTTACCACATTTAGCAGCTATCTGCAGAATATCACATTCGGTGTGCAACCCACTTGTTTCCAAGTCAAAATAGATAACATGGCAATTTTCTTTTAATGTACCTTCCTCGTCGTCGCTCAAGGACGGTGCATCCTGCACAGCAGGCTCAGTAAGCAAAGTAGAGTTACTTAGATATGTAGTTCCCTCTAGTTGTTCTTTTTTATGTCTCAACGCAGATTTCTTCTTACGCAATAAAATTTTATTTTTCTTGAAAGCTTGAGTCTTAATAAACAATGCTCGTTTCACTTTATTTTTTATTATTTTATCAATATATTGTCTGTGATTCTTTGCTGGAGATAATTTCAAGTTGCCACAAATGTTACTGGTATAACAGTCACCAATATTCTTTTGACAAACAACAGCAGCAAAACGGTAGTCAGATGACGCAGATAAACTCAAACATTTAGACTTAGGTGCTTTAGCAGCCATACTTGCGTTTAAACTTTCGTTAACATTACTAGAGGCAGCTATTGAAAATTTTTCTGCATTATTAGCTAATTTGTCAAAGATATTTTTCAATTCTTCAAATAGCTTTTGATCTGTCAATCCTCCGGGAACCATCTTATGGTCGTAGTTTTCCCTGTCACTTACAAAATCACACCATTGACCACACATGTCATGATTGTTAAATGCGTGGTACGGTATACACCTAACAGCTGAAGCCATATTTTTACTATTATCTTTGTTCTGTGCGACGGCGTAGGTGAAACACCTATGCAAATATTTTATTGAATCTGATTTCAGTTCTTGGTAATTTTTTTCAATGCCATATAACTCCTTTTTTACTCCTTTTGAGGTATGATTAATATCTGACAATTTACTAATTTGATGCGTAGTAGCTCCTTGGCGACAAGCAGCAATCGCAGAGCTGTCATTATCTCCTATAAATATACCTATTTCAACATTCTTTGATTTTAATATGCTGTTTTCATTAACAATTTTGTTAGCAGCATAACCTTCCATAGCTTTAGCGGACCCATAAAAGCTGAGTCTGCAGTCATGATCAAAAGGGCTGCATCCGTTGTCGCATTTTTTACATTTACGATTACATGTTGAAAAACCTAATATGGCTTGAGAGTACAATCCAACAATAGCACCGTACCCGTTAAGACTGTCATAATTTTTTCCATTGGCTCGAGTGCTCCATCCCATGTCATAAGATGCTATTAATTGAACGGCTGTTTGAAAAGTTACTGGAGCTTCTAGATTCAAAGATTTGTTAAAACATGAATTGATATTTTCAGGCCTGAAAAAAACCAATATAGTAATAATAAAACATTTGATATGCATATATTTTGAAAAATAATTATTTAAGCATTATCAATTTGTTAAAGCGTAAAATAAAGCAGTTTTAGTCACAATTTCTTTTTACCATTTGAATTTTTATTACAGACAATTACGTACAATTCTTAAAAATATCTCTTATTAAAAACGAAACCCTCTTTAAAAATCTTCTTTCATTTGATTAAAGACTTATTATTCATAATTGTTATACTATATTAATATGAAACAAAATTAACATAAAAAAATTTTTTTTAATCACTGTCACTTCACTTGATTAAAATTCCATGATTTTCCATACGCATAAACATGCAATATAAAAAAACTTTACTGATGTACAATAGTAAAATTTAATTAAAACTGATTCGATATGACAACATTAACATAAAAAAAAACATTTAAAAAAATCACTGTACTATCACTTGATTGAAATATCATAATGTATATTGAAATTGAATACAATTTTTCATACGTATAAACATGCAACATAAAAATATTTGAACTGATGTACAATAATAAGATATGATTAAAATCAATTTGATGCGTTAGGATAATAAGCAAGAATTATTTCAAAACATGCACTTGATTCTGTACTAATAATTACAATTGTTGTCTGAGACTTTCAAGATTCTCCAACATCAATTTACGCTCCAACTCAGTAGCTTTTTCACAACTTTGTTTGGCAAGTCTTTCTGTTGCTGTTCCTACTTCATCTTCGTACCTTTTATATGTTTTGAAATCTATTTGTGGTATATTTAAAGTAGCTGACAGTTTATTGAAATTGGTAAACCCAATCCCACTGTCCATTAATCCTATAATAAAAACCAAATTATTAATATTTTTCATGTAAAAATACAATTTTCATAACATTCATAACATTTATGCGACTGATTTTATTACCTAGAGCAAGCTTTGTGTTCATATCGAATCGATTGACACTGTCAGGGTTTATAGCGCTTGAATGTTGTTTACTAGTTGTAACAATGTTTGTCAACAAACACTTGTGGCAACGAATTGATAAAATTGAGCCAAGTCCTCGACGTTGTTCGTTTTCAATGTTGGTTAGCGACAAACATTCTTTACAACTATTACACCATAATTGTTCTCCAAGAAAAAGTAATTCAGCAATCCGTCGGCCTTCTCCGGGTTTTAAAGCTTCTGGTTTTTCAGTAGTTTGAGTATTTTCAACATTATTCGCACCGCGTTCGACATTATCACTAACGTCTAACCTTTTGCGTGATTTACGACCATTTTGTTGTTGTGCTACACGCTGCTTATATATTTTTTCGCTCACTAATCTGCCTTTCCAATAATGTCTGCTTTTTTTCACTTTAGGCATTTTTGTAATTATAGTTAAACACCAGTGTAAAAGTTAAATGTTTTTATGCAGTGCATGACGTACTCATGACGGTATCGTCGGTAACCTGTAATGCGGGCAACACATGACTGAGAACTGAGGCGACGCTTCTGAACCAATGTAGTCAAAATAAGAAATCGAAATTCTTGAAGCGTACAGCGTTGCCACGATTTCCATGCTCAGTTCAAAGTATATATTTCATTGTAAAACTTGCAAATATGTATTATTGCAACTATTTTCTCACTTGATAACATATATTTTTAGTTCTTCAGCTATATATAGGCATTTAATACTTCTCAATACTATTAATAAAAAGTTAATTTTTTTGTTTTTCGAAGTTGAAACCCTGCAGAATTCATTCTCAAAAGTTTATGACACATAAGTAATAGTATTAATATTCTAAACAATAATATTGCTTTTTACCTTACCAAAACGTTTTTAATGTCAAATTATACGTTTTTACTATTTATATGTAGGATTTTATCAGCACAAACAGACAGTCAAAGCCTTTAAATACTAACTTTGTTAGTTTCATTAACTTTTGGCTAAGATTGTATAGCCAATACACCCTTAATGAAAACTTGTAAAATGCATAATTGTGATCCATATATAGTACCTACAGTATCGTATCCAGTCGCTGTTTGAGGCAAAACATTCTTCTTAAGATCTACTCTTTCTCGAATAGAAACAGTCAATTCATTATTGACCGTAAACCAATCATCATATAATTGCAAATCTTCATATAGGAAATGTAGTTCACAGACTCTACTATTACACAGCTCCACAAAAAAAAATGAAAGTATTTTCCCCAATATCTGACTATATGTTCTTTATGTTTTTGAGGTCGCTGAATCCGAATCCGGGGTCCGTTTGACTCCATCACGTCAGGGTTAAGGGCATTTGAAGGTCAAATTGCGAATCGACCCGTTAAAAAATTTTAAAAAAATTCATAATATATTTTTGGGATTCCTGATTCCAAATCCAATCTTTTTTGAACCTCAACATGTCAGAATCAAGGTCAAACGGAGGTCAAATCATTCAAATCGGATGATACAATATTTTTGACTCCAGATTCTGAAAGAGCGGAAAATTTTACGTCCGAATACGTAGTAACTTTTTTTTTAAACCGACTTCTGTAGGTCACGTTGCGGTTATCCAAAATAAGACTTGGATATCTAGTTTTGGCCGGAACATTGAACGCAGATTAGAATTCTGGTTCTTTAGACAGTTGATCTTCATGTTTTTTGAGTCACTGATCACGAAGCTAGTCCTTTTTACTACATCGTAATGTCCGTTTAATTTAATGTCCTTTTGTGATAACGGACTTGCTTTTGTTCAAACGATCTTCGTAATGGTTTTCTTTTAGGTGTTACTGGAACTGTTTCTATATCTCGTTTTAAATTCCAGCAGTAGTCTGTCAACATATTTATACCCCATGTTCCTTGATAGCGCTTTTCCATATCTTTCATGTCTTGATAACATCTCTCTCCATGCTCTTCACTGAAATCACCTAATTTTTCTGGAAAGAAATCGAGATGAGAGTCTACAAAATGCAATTTGATGCTCATATTACATCCTAAATTCTTATAGTTTTCAATCATAACACCTACTAGTTTTTTATAATTCGGACTTTTATTGTTCCGTAAAAAATACTTAGAAACTGCATGGAAGCTAGTCCATGCCGCTTTCTCTAAATTTGTCATTTGAGATGTAAAATTGGGATCATTGAAGAGCGTTCGGATCTGTGGACCATCAAAAATGCCTGCCTTTAGCTTGGCTTCACTGAGTTTGGGCATTTTTTTCACTATATATCTAAAGCAATCTCCATCTTTATCTAGAGCTCTGACAAATTGCTTCATGAAACCAAGTTTGAGATGCAGTGGAGGAATTAAAATTTTTAATGTATCTACAAGAGGCGGCTGAATGACGTTGGACGATCCAGGCTGCAGAGAATTTCTCGTTGGCCATTCCTTTTTGATGTAGTGATTTTGACGATCCCTGCTGTCAAAAAGGCACAAGAAGCAAGGGTATTTAATATTCCCGCTCTGCATCCCAAGAAGAATTCCAATGATTTTGAGGTCACCACAGATTCTCCATTGATGTTCTTTGTAATTGATTTTTTCTAAAACAATTTTCATATTTTGGTAAGATTCTTTGAGAAGTGTAGAGTGAGCTATGGGTATTGGAGCCAGTACATTCGTATTGTGGAGCAATATCACTTTCAAACTGCGAATAGAAGAATCTATAAACAGTATCCACTCATTCGGCTTGTAGACATTAACTTTGAAACTATTTATAAGTCCGTTGATATCATTGCAATACATCAATCCCACTGTATCATCTTTAGTAAAGAAACGTCGAAACTCTTGGTCTCTGTTCCTATAAATTGAAATCTTTACACCTTCTTCCAAAAGATTCTTTTGTTTCAGCCTTGAAGCCAAAAGTTCATGAGCTTCCTTTGAAAGTCCTAACTCTCTTCCTAAGTTACTCAATTCATTCTGCGTAAATTTTGCAGGCTCCTTATTCCTTTCATCCTGGTTTTCGTCACTTTCACTTCCTTTGTCTGTCTCTATCTCGCTGTCACTTTCCTCTGTTTGTACTTCTTCGGTACCTATTTCTTCATTGGCCAGGACGTCTACAACAGGATTCTTGGCATTACCACTATTTTTTGAAATCAAAACAGCTGGAATTACTTTATTGGTAAAAATATATTTGATTTTTGATTTATTTTTCCTATTGTATCCGTGAGTAATGGTATTGCAGAAGAAACAGTCTTGTTTTGCTTCTGGCATATTCCATGTCACTGATACAGAGTATTCCAACTTTGAAAGGTCCTTTTTCATATAACATGTCAGCAACATTTTATGACAGCGCAGACAAACGACATGTGGAACCCAATTCTCATCTTGATTCAATATTTCTGATGAAAAACAATAACTGTATGCAGTACGCACAGCACGAGTGATATTTGTCCGGCTATATGGTGGTGCATATGCAGCACAAACGTAACAAAAATAATTTGGTTTTTCCGGGTTGTCATGCTCATGTCTAGAGGTTCTGGCTATACTTGTAGCTTTATACTTTGGTAAGGCCAAGTTAGCCACCTTAACAAGGCTACGGTCGCATGATGACGACGCCTGCGGGCCTGCTTTCTCACCCTGACCAGCCGCCGATACTGGGGTTCCGACCCCCTGCATCGTAAGTTTTTCCGGTGTGTTTGCCATGACGGCATGAGCATCATGACCCAGGAACTTTGCCGGATAGCGAGACAACTCCGTTGCCCGCCGTCACCACGGGGAGGTGTCCTGGATGCAAACACATGGAAAAAACCGCTGCCAACAGATTCCAAAAATAGATATCTAAGTCTTATTTTGGATAACCGCAACGCGACCTACAGAAGTCGGTTTAAAAAAAAAGTTACTACGTATTCGGACGTAAAATTTTCCGCTCTTTCAGAATCTGGAGTCAAAAATATTGTATCATCCGATTTGAATGATTTGACCTCCGTTTGACCTTGATTCTGACATGTTGAGGTTTAAAAAAGATTAGTTTTGGAATCAGGAATCCCAAAAATATATTATGAATTTTTTTAAATTTTTTAACGGGTCGATTCGCAATTTGACCTTCAAATGCCCTTAACCCTGACGTGATGGAGTCAAACGGAACACGGATTCGGATTCAGCGACCAATCAGAGCCTGTAACAAAAGATATTGACTAATTTATATCGTAAATTTACGATTTTCGTCAGTGAATTGACGACATGGCAACGTCGCATGTACTCCATGTGCCTCGGTATAGGCGCGGATTTCGGAATGACGCTACGAATTTCTGAACAGCGAAGCTCACTTTTTTATTAAAAATTATTCTGTTCATGTTAATAAAAAATTTTTTATATCATATTAATAAAAAACTCCACATTTATTAATTTAATAAACATTTTATTTATTATATTAAATAAATAATTATTATTACGAAATAACAGTAGTTATTTTTCTCACTCATTTTTTCAGTCTGTATAACATCAGGTTACCTTTTATAGGTTAGCCCGCAAGCATAATAAATACACGCGGTAGCAGACGTACACCCAACGTGGATTGAATCGCGACCCCCCCCCCCCCCCAGTTAGGTTGGTATGAGAATTCCGTCGTTGCATCGGAACGAAAAAACCGCGGGAATATTCAAAAATGAAAATTCGTTTTAAGATACGATAAAAAGCTAAAACGTTACTAATTTGTTTTTAGGTTTAAAATTAATTGCTTGCGAACAATGAATTTAGATGCATGATTATTTGATTTTAGGTTTTAATTATATAATTTAAGAACGAGCGTTATACTATGGCCGATCTGAAAACCACCGTTACGGACTTAAAGTAGCAGTCAAAATCAAAGCTCGAATAGCAGACCTGAAAAAGTCTGTTTACACGTGTCTATTTTAAATGTTTCTTCCGAGTTTCTTGTGCTTTTACCTGCTTTTGCTTCAGCAAGGATTTATCGTTATGCTGGCATTTAGATAATTAGTTATTATTTATTTATTTATTTACTATCTACAATAGAAAATAAAAACATGTTACTTTGTGAATGTTCTTTTTTTTTGCAGGAGTTTTTATTTCAGCAGGATGAAGTGAAATAGAAATGTTATACTAATATTACTGAAAAAGAAATTTACTCCACTTGGCTCTCATATTTGCGGAAAACCCAAAATATTTTTCCCATTCTTTTCCCATTCTTTTCCCCCTTTTAAGTTTATGTTAGGAAATGTAACACAAGGTTACATGTATTCAAAGTATACATTTATTATAGACATTTTATCTTCAAAAGTGTCGATTTAAAGTGTCTCATTAATATTTGGATTCTATCCTATTCACATTTTTTGAAAAAAAAAAAAATATGTACATAAATATATATTAGACATATGTTTCAATGTCTTATCATAATAAACTTTTTTAAGTGGTATACATTATTAAGGTAAAAGTAAGTCAATGTATTGCAAGAAATAAATTTATTTTTATTTTGAAGATAAAATGTCTATAATAAATGTAGTATACCTTGAATACATGTAACCTTGTGTTACATTT